AATAGATGGTCAGGAAGGGAAAGTGTGCAAGTTGCTGAAGTCTTTGTATGGACTAAAGCAAGCACCCAAACAGTGGCATGAGAAGTTCGAAAGAACTTTAACAGCCGCAGGCTTTGTTGTGAATGAAGCTGACAAATGTGTGTACTATCGCCATGGTGGGGGCGAGGGAGTTATGCTTTGCTTGTATGTTGATGACATACTAATTTTTGGAACAAATCTAAATGTTATTAAGGAGGTCAAGGATTTCCTATCTCGCTGTTTTGAGATGAAGGATTTAGGAGTGGCTGATGTCATTCTGAACATCAAGTTGTTGAGAGATGATGATGGTGGGATTACATTGCTTCAATCTCACTATGTGGAAAAGATCTTGAGTCGCTTTGGCTATAGTGACTGCAAGCCCTCTCCAACATCATATGATGCTAGCGTGCTGCTTCGAAAGAATCGAAGAATTGCTAGAGATCAATTGAAGTATTCTCAGATTATTGGCTCGCTTATGTACTTAGCCAGTGCTACAAGACCTGACATCTCTTTTGCTGTTAGCAAACTGAGTCGGTTTGTTTCAAAACCAGGAGATGTGCATTGGAAAGCTCTAGAGAGAGTTTTGCGTTATTTGAAAGGCACTGCGAATTATGGAATTCACTACACTGGGCATCCAAAGGTGCTTGAAGGGTATAGTGACTCAAACTGGATCTCAGATGCTGATGAGATAAAGGCCACGAGCGGTTATGTATTCACTCATGGAGGTGACGCTGTTTCTTGGAAGTCTTGCAAGCAGACCATCTTAACAAGGTCAACAATGGAAGCAGAACTCACAACACTAGATACAGCTACGGTCGAAGCAGATTGGCTTCGCCGGCTCTTGAATGACTTGTCGGTTGTTGAGAAACATGTACCGGGTATCCTTATGAACTGTGACAATCAAACTGTGATCACTAAAGTGAGCAGCTCAAAGGATAACATGAAGTCATCAAGACATGTTCAGAGAAGGTTAAAGTCTGTCAGAAAAATGAAAAACTCCGGAGTTATTGCATTGGATTATATCCAAACATCTAAAAATCTGGCAGATCCTTTTACTAAGGGTCTATCACGTAATATGATAGATAATGCATCGAGGGAGATGGGAATGAGACCCACAATATGAGTTGTTCACAGTGGTAACCTATTCTTTGTGATCGGAGATCCCGTGAATTAGATGTGTAAGACAAGCTGTTGGTCAACTGAGAGGAGAGTATCCTTACTGTTAAAATACCACTCCATGAAGATGCAATACTCTCCTAATCTGCATGGCAGGTTGATGTATATCTTAATGTGTTCTAAGTGGCTTTTTGAAGCAGAGATGTTGTCCTGCAGAGCATCTTTTGAAGAACGCACCTATATGAGTCTGATTGTTAAACGTCGCAATCTATGAGAGTAGAGTTCTCTCTAGTAAACTCGTGAAAGGTCACGGAGTATGACACATAAGCTCCACCCGCGGGGAAGACCCACGGTAGCCACGTATTGGTCAAGGCTTTATGTGAAACTAGATTCGCAGAAAACTTGCAGTTCAAGGCCCAGTCCACTCTTCAAGTTGCCAACTAGTGTAGCATAGGGTTCTAGGTGGAAGTTCAACTTAACAGTCTCCACTGCAGTACCGGTATATAAAACAGTGTTTTGGAACCAAAGGCAAATTTTGTGTGCCTCTGGGATCTGGTGGGGGATTACTGGAATTTTGTCTATTTTGGGCCTAGCCCAATAGCAGTTTCAGAAATTCTTATAAATCCTAGAGGCCCACGCAGCCCATTCGTGCAAGGCAAGAGGTGGAACTAAAGTTTAGTCCCACCTTGCTAGTTTAGAGGGAGTTGGACCTCTTTATAAGGGAGGCTCCTTACCCACTTGTATGAGCATGAGAACAAGAGGGACATCCACGCGCGCTCCTCCTCCGCCGCCCGCCTCGCCACGCCACGCCACGCCTCGTCACGACGCGCCGCGCCGCGGGTTGCGGGTTGCGGGTTGCGGGAATGAGCCGAGCCGATGTCTAAATTTTTGCCACGCACTACGGGTATATGAATGGTCACACGAAAGCTGAAACGTTTTTGCTGTAGTGGAGCCTGAATACGAACGGTGCACCTCTTCACGTGCTGCCTGTTCGTTTTTGTCTCCCTCCGTTGCTTCACCTCCCGGCGCAGCCTGTTCGCGTCCTTCTCTTGTGCCTATATAAGAAAGGTCGCCCCTCTCCCGAGTGACACATCAGAAGGTTCTCTTTCTCTCGCCACACAGTTCCAAACTCTGCGCTACTGCTGTCTTCCTCATCCCGGCTTGCGGCGTGCACCGCGCGTCGGGACAGTAGGCCTCCGAGACCGCACCTTTTGAGTCCTGTATGGGAGAAGGGTGATAAGGTTTTTGGGGAGCGCTCAACGCGACTACTGGCTACTTCATCACGGACGATCCGGTCACCGACGACTACTTCCCCGACGACGACTTCTTCCCCGACGTCCACGACCTCCTCGACGACATGGCAGGCGAGGACATCGACCCCAAGTCCAGCGCTTCTGCTGCTGCTGTGCTGTACGTGTTCTTATCCTTTCTGTTAGAAGTCGTGCTACAGTTCTTGGCTCTAGTCTCTGCCCTAGATATGTTAGGTTCTATGTGGTATAAGCATCTTCATCTAGTGTCTGTTCTAGATATGTTTACCTCAAGTTCATATATGCAGACGATGTTTACCTTCTCTTTGTCAGATTGCATAACTTGCTTTATATTTGCTATATTAGTCATGCTTTATCTAGTATTTCTGGTAATAAAATCATTCGGAAAATTGCTCATATTTCCAACAACTAGTAGCGCACACTGCGAGCAAGAAGCTCTTGGAAAGCGAGGGGTGAGTGTTCACGGTTGCAAAACGAGGGGCGAGTGTTCATAGCAAAAATGATTAGAGAGGAAATGAGGGCCCACAGGGCATGAACTAAGAAGGTCTGCCAGTGTTCTATTTGGACCGCGAAAAATTTGAAACATAGAATAGCAAAACACATGATTGACATGCCCTTTATCTTGAATTCCTATCGGATTTCAAAACACGAAAATTTTGTAAGAGGGTTAACTTGATCGCTTTTTTGTCTTGACCATGCTGGTGATCTCGAGACACACGCAAAAATGAGGTCGTAGGCGAGAGCTCACTAGAACCTTGCCGAAAACGGGGAGAACGGCCGAAAGAGATGAGGAACACGACTGAAGGAGGAAGATGAAGAAGAGCCGTTGGATTTGAATCCAACATCCGATATTATTGGCTGGCAGATAAAAAAACAGGTGGCCACATATTTCATGGAAAATAATCATATGAATTGGTAAAACCTTATCTTCAAAACACGCCCATTGCCCTTTTCTCAAACCCGAACTCGGCCCAGAGACAGGCCCAAACGCTTTTATAATACTTTAAACCTAAAAGCCCGACCCGAAGCCCAAAAGAATCCCGAGCCCATGCCCAAAAGCATCTTTCGGGCTGCAAACCAGCCGGGCTTGGGCCGGGCTGCCCATAGCCCATGTCCAATCATGGGCACATGCCCCAACCGTGCCCTGGGAGGAGCCGGGGAGCGACTCAGCGGACGACCCTGCCAGTTGCAAGCGCGCGAGCACATGCACGCTCCTTCGTCAAGTCGGCAGCGCTCCACCCAACGCACGCTGCGCCTTTGTTGACATTTGCCACACGACCTGCAACATCCTCGATCCCCCAAGCGCAGCCGAGACCTTGACCGTCCTCTCGCTCCACCGGGAATAGGATCCCATCATCTTTGACCCGCATATGATACTCCGCCACTAGCAGCCGGCTCCGACTCGATGGAGACCCGCATACGCCGTGGCGCCGGCCGGCCGGCCTGCCGAGAAACTCCGTGGCCGCCGGCGAGGCTTGCAGCGGTCACGCGCATGTACAGGTCTGCTGCACAACTGGACACGCGGGGCGTGCACGGGCACGTCTAGCTGCTAGCCTGCCATGGCGCGATGAATGCGCTCGGGTCGCAACTTGGCGTGGCACCGCGGAGTTGGGAGGGGAATTGAAGGAGCCGGGGCCGCACGGCACAGCATCGGATTCCAACTGCTGCCCCTGCCCATGACGCATCGCACGCCTGGACCTGGGAGGGCAGAGCAGGAGGCCCAGGCTGTGTCGACCGTCGCCCTCCAATCCATCCTCGCAAGGTGGCACATGCGCCAGCCAGCCTCGACTATGCACGCTCACGTACACAGCTCACTTCTACAGCTCCTGAGCAGGAATCCAGCCACCTAAAAGCCACAGACTTTTTGGGTGAGCAGCTCACCATTCTCCTTTGCAAATGCTGTCTTCTTCTCTTTCTCTTTTGTTTTTTTTTTGAGAAAAATGCTGTCATTTTTACAAGCATACGAGTACAATCGAGACGCCAATAAGCGAAAAAGGGAGGAATGCCTTTTATTTATTTGACAGAGCAGCCAAATACATAGCTCACGATTCATTTCAGATTATGTTTTGTAACCACAACAGGAGTATATGGCCCTGTTTGGTTCATAACTCCTAGGATTTTTTGTAGTCTCAAATTATAAGTCCCAAGTCTTTAAAAAGCCCCTACCCGTTTGGTTTCTAGGACTTATAAGTCCCTTTAAGACCATATTACAACTATAAGTCCCTATAAGTCCCTCCTTGAAAGTCTTATTCCATAAATCCCAAATGCGCACATTAAGTCCCTATAAATCCATCCTGTTTGGTTTAGATGAGACTTATAGGGACATTTTTAAGTCTATAAGTCAATAAGTTCCTGAAAACAAACACCCTCTATAAATAATATGCAGCACCAGTAGTATATAGCAGTAAAAAATACTTTGTACACTCGTGGCATCGCCATCGATTTGTCTTGAACTCTCGATGAGCAACAATCAATGGGACATCAAGATAGTGCTACGCCGCGCCGCATCGCCGTCCGCGCTGGCCGGCCGGCAACGGAGCTGCGACGAAGACCGGCGAGGCGGAGCGGCAACGCGCGACGGCGGCCGGCCATCAGTATTCAGTAGGGGCGCATGCCGACGTAGTTGCCGGGCGGGTCGTAGTTGCAGGTGATGAAGGTGCCGCGGCCGCCGTAGCACTCGACCATGGCGCACCCCACGCGGGTGCTGCCGCGCCACACGATCTGCGTGTAGTGCCCGCACATGCCGCCGCTGCAGCGGTTGCTCCAGTAGTCGTACCGGGGCCGCTCCGCCAGCCACGCCCCCACGGCCTGCGCGGGCGCCCAGCCGGTGCCGCTGCCCCAGAAGAGGTTCTCGCCGTAGGGCCCCGACGAGTGCACCAGCGCGCAGTCCCCGCGCCGCGACTCGGCGTACGACCGCGCGTACGCCGCCACCCGCTCGTCCCACCTCAGCGCCGGCAGCCCCATCGCCGCCCGCGCCGCGTTCTGCTGGAACAGGAACTGCGCCCTGTAGTCCCCGCCGCCGCCGCGGGGGTAGCCGGCGTCCACCACGACGACGAGGAACGCCGCATTGCACAGCGCGACGGCGAGGAGGGCGATGGCCAGCTGGGCTCGAGTACAAGTGGAGGAGGCCATGGGAGGTGGGTGGTGATGCTGCTCTGCTTACGGACGGGAGGTTGGTATATATGGAGGCTCGGAGGGAGGGCAGGAAATCTTGTCAGAATATTTTTAAGATGTGTCGTTGGGGAGGCGAGGCCATGTTCCGCCATGATTGCGCGCTCTGGAACTGGAAGGAAGGTCTACCTAAAATGAAAATCAACTGGAATCAAATTAGCAGCAGCTGCTCTGTTCCGGGCGGTGCTTACTGAATTATTAGTGCTCCGATTTGGAATCAAATTGCTACTGATTGATTAGCTCGTTCGTTGTAGGCTGGTCAGAGTGCGCATTGAGCACGTTGATCAGACGTGCCTTGGCCCGTCGTTTCCAAGTAGTAATTGGCATCTTGTCTCTGAATTAATAGTTCAACTGTTCATCCGCTTCGGTTAATTTGCTAACTAGAGCACTAGAGCATGTACACAAATGATTTTGGAGATTATTCAGAAAAATTCTCTAGATAATGGTAGGCACTGGTAAATGGCATGATGGAACAGCTGTGTTCATCACGGAGTGCCATTCAATTGGCGAGGGTGGTCGCTCAGACAGAAAGAGGCAGAAAGGCGCGCATCGTGGCATCGGCACGTCATGACGCGCCGCATGAATCAACAGGGAATGGCATGCAGCACACTGTCGAGCTCCGCCAAAAGGTGCCCTTTACAACTCAGATTGGCTGCCTTGCCAACACAGTGATAGTCGGCTCTTCAGGAAGCGCTGTGCGAAACTAAACAGGTTACTCCCTCCATCCCATAATATAAGAGTGTACTGTAAAAAAACGCCATAATATAAGAGTGTACTGTCAAAAACGTTTTTATATTATGAAACGGAGGGAGTAGTTTGCAGTGATAATCTTGCCTATAGATGAGGGTAGAAAGCACTAGCATTTCTACCTATGTTGTCTCGCGATTTTTCTGCATCGAGATTAGGGAAATGCTTGCGGCCGGTCGACCGGCTAACGACTCGGCCGGTCGCACGCGCGCCGTCTGATTGTTTTTCATCATGTGACTCACATCCCACGCTGACTTATCCTCACGCACGTCAGCACCTTATCCACTCACGCGAACCTTCTCAGCGCTTCCCAGCCATTCTTTCTTTCCCGAGCATCCATCTCATCCTCAAATCGCATCTCCGGCAGCAGCACCGTCGAGGGCCACCACCTCTGCGCGCCCCGCGCACTCGGAGCTTCTCAGCCGCTTCCCATCCATTTTATGCCGCCGTCGGCTTTCTCCGGCGAACTCATCCCCTTCTCTCCTTACAAGTCATGCCCAACCCACTATTCCACTCCTCCGTGTCAGCAGTGGAGGGGGTTGGTTGCCCAAAGCGACTGGAGACAGGGGGCTGTGCGTGCACGCGATGGGCGGCGAGCTCTCCAGGTACCTTTTTTTTGCTGGAACTGGAATTCATTGTTGCTGGAACAAGCTGTCTTTTTTGCTACAATCAAGTTTCCTTGGAGTTTGCTATTTCTGGGATTTTTGCTGGAACGGCAGTAATTTGTAGCTGGGACCGATTGTTTCCTTTGCTGCAATCGATTTTGTGTTTGGAGTTTGCTGTTAGTGGGATTTTTGCTGGATCCGGGGTAAAATGTTCCGGCTGTTTGTTTTGCTACAATCAAATTTCTTGAAGTTTGATGTTTGTGGTATTTTTGCTGGAACCATAATAATTTTTTGTTGGAACCGCCTTTTTGTTTTGCTACGTCGAATTGGTTGGAGATTTGTTATTTCTGGGATTTTGCTGGAACCAGTGTTCTTTTTGGCTGGAACCAAGTTTTTGTTTTGCTGGATCCACCCATTTTTATTGCTACAACCCCTTTCTTTTTTTGCTACCATCTCGTTTGATTTTTTTGATGAACATCTTTTGTTTTTTGCTGGAACCTCTTTTGGTTTTTGCTGGAGCCACTTCTTTTTTTTGCTGGAACCTTCTCCTGATTTTGCTACAAATTGAGAGGATGTGGCGTTGTCCCCGCCATTTTTTAGTACATCAAATTTTTGCTGGAACCTCTTTTGATTTTTGCTGGAACTAGCATTCTGAATCTGCTGCATAGGCTATGATGAAGCTAGGATGACGATGAACGATGGGTACCATGTGTCTCTGCATCGGGTCTTTTTGCTGGAACCAGCAATCGTTTCTGCTACAACCAGCCTAAGAAGAGTTGAAACCGACAAGATTATTTTCATTTTTGCTGGAACTATCATTTTTGTTTTGTTAGAACAATTTTTGAGTTTGCTGGAGCCGGTGTTATTTTTTGCTACAAGGGGCTAATTGTTTTGCTCCAACAGATTACTGGAGTATTTGTTTTGCTTTTGTTGCTGATTTTATTTTTGCTACAATCGGCATGGGGAAAGCTTCAACCTCGAAAAAAAAAGCTTCAACCAGAGAGGATGGGGAAAAGCTTGGACTGGCATGGAAAAAAGCTTCAGTCCGACGCGCGCGAGTGCGTGATGCCAGCGAGCTGCGGTCGGCGGGGCAGGTTGATGTTGCGACAAGCATGCTATGAAGGAGGCGATTAGTTGCTGCAACGGCAGAGGCATCCGATGTGCTATGAGACAGCCCTCTTTCTGCATGATGGCGGCTGGTTGCAGCGACGACGCCCGTTGGATCCGGCGAGGCCGAGTGCTGCGAGGACGGCGAGCCGGCGTGGCTTCAAAGTCAGCGGCAGGGGCGGCCATGGCAGGCTGCGTGAGTGAGGCGGGATGTGCTGGAGATTTTCGTTTTTCTTTTTTTCCGCATGATGTATCAGAGGAGGATGAAGAAAGGGGGCCAGATCTGACGGTACAGGAAACTGCAATCGAACGGGTACGCGCTGACCGGCCCAATTTTGAGCCGGTGCGCCGGCGCCTATCACTTGCCTCGAGATTAACCCTGTTTCTTGAGCTAGGCAGTAGGCAGGGCAGTAGCATTATTCAGAAGCTGACCTACCGAATATATAGCCAGAAATGTGAACGGCGTCGTGCCATGGTTGGAGCTTTGGAAGGTTTCTGTCTGGCTGGTACCACGTACCTACTGGCGAACAACGTGCCAATCACTGGCTGTCAAGAGTGCTCGCTGCCCAATATGCGCAAACAAATGGAGCCGATGACGAGGACTTTTGTGGCGTCCGGGCCACCGATTTTTTGTCAAACAAGACCACCTGTGCTTTCATATTGACAAAAAGGACCATCTGCAATTCTGCCGCCACAGCTGGCGGCGGCAAGACCTGCAGCCACAGCGCAGGGCGGCAGCTCGGCTGCAACAGGATTCACACGCGGGCGGCAGCTTAAAACGGAACGGAGAGACGAGGCGGGTCTGCCGCCACTCCCCATGGCGGCAGCTCCTCTGCATTCTGGCTGCTCAGACGACAGGCTAGTACAAGTATTGCGTGCCCCTTATCATTCATGCCGCCCCAGCCTGCACCGCACTGCAATGCATGCAGCCATATGTGCTTCCCCTCTCTCTCTGAACTTTGACAACGTACGTGCAGCCAACCTAGAAACAGCCACAAAACTACAACCATGCAGATGAATGAGATAAGAGGCATGCGGCGCGGGAGCTCAAGGCCATTTATAATGGACCTGACCCATTTGATTAGATATGTACCGGCACGCAGATGCAACGGCACAAATTGCAATTGTGGATGTCTGCAGCAACAGAAAAAAGGAGGTGCCGCCATAGGGACTGGCGGCAGGGCCAGCCTCTTCTCTCCATTCCGTTACCAGCTGCCACCCGCATATGAAATGCTGTTGCAGCCGAGCTGTCGCCGTGTGCTGTGGCGGCAGGTCCTGCCGCTGCTGTCCGTGGCGGCATGTGCTACGTGTCGGCCGCCGGAGATGCCGCCACAGCCGACGTGGTCTTTTTTGTCAATATAGATTGCAGGTGGTCTTTTCTGTTAATACGAAACCATTGGTGGTCTTATTTGTCGAAAATTCCGGGCCATCGGCCTGCCTTGGCTGCAGCGGACAAGCCGATCATCACAAATGCGACATTGAATAAACAAATCGTATGGGCACGGGGGATAATTGCAGGGTTGGTTTTACTAGGACAATAGTACAAAACAAAACAACACGGTGTTGGGTGTTCAGAATTTGAGTAGTGCATATTGGATCTATATTATGTCAAAATTGGAGCATTTACAGCCGGACTTGTTAAAATTTGGCCTCTCAAACGCCCGCAGGTATTGACCGGTCAGTTAGTGTTATGCATACAAGTACCTCATTTTAGACCCCCTAGATAAATACAAGGCAAACCATGCAAACGAATCATACCTACTACATACTACCCTAGGCTAGGCATCATCGTCGCAGATGTTCAAGACGTCGGTGTGGGGCAGCGGGTAAATACGCTCCTGATAGAGGAACACGAGAGAGAACACGAGAGAGAGAGAGATCAAACACATAGCTACTGGTACATACCCTCAGCCCCGAGGGTGAACTACTCCCTCCTCGTCATGGAGAGCGCCGGGATGATGAAGATGGCCACCGGTGAGGGACCCTCCCTCCGGAAGGGTGCCGGAACTGGGTCCCGATTGGTTTTTGGTGGCTACATAGGCTTGCGGCGGCGGAACTCCCGATCTAGATTATTTTCTGGAGGTTTCAGTATTTATAGGAATTTTTGGCGTAGGTCTCACGTTAGGGGGGGGGTCTCCGGGCTGTCCACGAGGCAGGGGTGCGCCTTCCACCCTCGTGGGCAGCCCGGGACTCTTTTGGCCCAACTCTTGCACTCCAGGGGCTTCTTTTGGTTCATAAGAATTCATCAAAAATTGGCACGTCAATTGGACTCCGTTTGGTATTCCTTTTCTGTAAAACTCAAAAACAAGGGAAAAAACAGAAACTGGCACTGGGCTCTAGGTTAATAGGTTAGTCCCAAAAATCATATAAAATAGCATATAAATGTATATAAAACATCCCTAAATGGGTAATATAATAGCATGGAACAATAAAAAAATTATAGATACGTTGCAGACGTATCAAGCATCCCCAAGTTTAATTCCCGCTCGTCCTCGAGTAGGT